CTCGGTGCTCGGTGCATTTGCACTCGGTGCTCGGTGCATTTGCACTCGGTCCTCGGTGCATTTGCACTCGGTCCTTGGTGCATTTGCACTCGGTCCTCGGTGCATTTGCACTCGGTCTCGGTGCATTTGCACTCGGTGCTCGGTGCATTTGCACTCGGTGCTCGGTGCATTTGCACTCGGTCCTCGGTGCTCGGTGCATTTGCACTCGGTGCTCGGTGCATTTGCACTCGGTCCTCGGTGCATTTGCACTCGGTCCTCGGTGCATTTGCACTCGGTCCTCGGTGCATTTGCACTCGGTCCTCGGTGCATTTGCACTCGGTCCTCGGTGCATTTGCACTCGGTCCTCGGTGCATTTGCACTCAGTGCTCGGTGCATTTGCACTCGGCGCTCGGTGCATTTGCACTCGGTCCTCGGTGCTCGGTGCATTTGCACTCGGTGCTCGGTGCATTTGCACTCGGTGCATTGGCACTCTGTGCTCGGTGCATTGGCACTCGGTGCTCGGTGCATTGGGCAGTGGGTGCTCGGTGCATTGGCACTCGGTGCATTGGCACTCTGTGCTCGGTGCATTGGCACTCGGAGCTCGGTACATTGGCACTCAGTGCTCGGTACATTGGTACTCGGTGCTCGGTGCATTGGTACTCGATACTTGATGCATTGATACTTCGTGCATGGATACCTGGTGCATGGATACCTGGTGCATCGATACCTGGTGCATCGATACCTGGTGCATTGATACCTGATACCTTATACCTGATACTTGAATACCCCTCGTAAAAATCACAGTTTTACCATGTATGAACGTAGGAAATATGTAGCGTTCAGTTCTCCTACCTTTTGCATTTTGCTGACAATGCGAGCGTTGTTCAGTCGCCTAGTCCTCTAGCCCCAAATGCGTAACCGAATAGTTGCCCTGTCTCACATCGAATAATACTTGGCCTTGGCAGCAGTTCCAAGTGGTATCGTTGATTTTGGATGGATACTGATTTCTTCACGATCGAATTTCAGCGTAACACAAGGCCCTTAGTAATTCGAGAACTTTTTCTACCGAATAGAAAGTGGTACGTTTGGGAAAGCACCGGGATCATTCCATGGACTTACCCCCTCCATCTCCAAAAAATCGGTGACAATCCAAGTGAGTTAACTAAACAAAAATCATCAAAAGCAATAAAGGTGGAAGTATGTGACGCACCCTGTATTCCATGCCAATGTGGTGGTGACCAACTGCATTTTAAATTGGAAACCCCATAGTATAACGTGGTCACAGCACCCGGATCATTCTATGGCCTTACCCCTTCCATATCCAAAAAATCAGAGACAATCCAACTAAAAAAAATTCATCAGAAGCAATAGAGGTAGAAGTATATGGCACACCCTGTATTCCATGCCAACGTGGTGTTGCCTAACTGCATTTTAAATTGAGAATCTCATATGAAAACGCGATGACCTTATCTACCAATTAGGGTACTTCTCGGAAAGCACCGGGATCATTCCATGGCCTTACCCCCCAAGTAGGTATAATCACATCCCGTTTTAAAAAGTCGCAATTTTTAAGAAAATTCGCTCGTACAAGTAAAACCACATCCCGTTTTAAAAAGTCGCAATTTTTAAGAAAATTCGCTCTTACCTAAGTTGCAGTATTCGATTGAGGGGGTTGCAAATGTTGTAGTAAGTCAAATATTTCTATTTCCTTGATCGATTATATTTAGAGGATCTACAGACAACCCTTCAGTTTCTAATTACAAGTAAAACCACATCCCGTTTTAAAAAGTCGCAATTTTTAAGAAAATTCGCTCTTACCTAAGTTGCAGTATTCGATTGAGGGGGTTGCAAATGTTGTAGTAAGTCAAATATTTCTATTTCCTTGATCGATTATAATAAGAGGATCTACACACAACCCTTCAGTTTCTAATTACAAGTCAAATCCCATCCAGTTTTAAAAAGTCGCAATTTTTAAGTAAATTTGCTCCTACCTACGTTGCAGTATTCGATTGAGGGGGTTGTAAATTCTATTGTCCGTCAAATATTTCTATTTGCTTGACCGATTATAATAAGTAGTAATTACAAATAAAACCACATCCCGTTTTAAAGTCGAAATTTTTAAGAAAATTCGCTCCTACCCACGTTGCAGTATTCGATTGAAAGAGTTGTAAATTTTGTTGTGAGTCAAATTTGTAGCCACAGCTAAGTAAGCTGTTACGGATTTTCAGAACTTTTTCTTATAGATTTTGTACTGTGTAGAATCCAAAACATCGACAATGTTGGAGATTAGACCACTACATCAAAAGCGGTTTCGGTCAATGGCCTACAAATGTGGCCAAATCGCGTTCTGTCACCATTGTTAAACGTTCGAAAACCCGCTTTCCGTCAGTAATGTTGCCCAATAAGGGTAACTTTGTATATAAAGTAGTTTATTCCAAAAATGTTATTGTACAATCCAAAACGAACAGAATTTTCAAAATAGGACCACTACATCCCTTTCCTTGCTGTTTGTACAATCGTTTTTGTTCCAATATACGGACCATGGATGTAGCCGTGCAATCTGTAAGGGAGTTAGGTACCATCCCACTTGATCCCATGTGAAATAAACAACAAAAATGTTTTCTTGTCCATTTTGTAGTAAAGGATTGGTAGGTACGTACCTATTACCATAGAGGAAATACAATGGTATTACCTACAAATGACGCGTCTTTTAACCCGATTTAGTTATAGGTAGCACAAATTTGAATTAATCTACTGTTTAATTTCTCAAAAGCACTCGATCAAATTCACTCAGCGCAGTTTGGTCGCACTAGCTAGACAGTAAATTTCATTTCAAGGAATCAAAAAATCCCGCCCCTCAAACACTTAGGAGTACCTAAGTGTCCTAGCGCATTTTAATTTATTTGCTAGGACAGTTTCTCGATGGACCACCCAATCTTACATAAAGGTAAACAAAACTCACCCTTTTCTGGAATATAAACAGGTTTCATAGGAACGGAGTACATACAACCGTACTTACTGGCGATTCATTCGCAAATGAATTACGTACATACGTAATCTTGTAACTGCAATGTTGATAAAGAGAAACAGATGCAGTCGCTTGACTACGTGTTTACATTATTACGTTTATAAATGCTGCGGTCAAATCAATTAATGCGATTATTCATAACTGGTCATTGGGCAATGTGAATAATTGAAGGAAGGAAACAGCCCCCAGAATGATTTTTTTTAACTCAATATCTTCATACATGGCAGTAATTTCCGTTCTCCTAAAGTTTTAAAAGGAAACGCATCCCAAATTTATCAGATTGGTCGGTGATTGTTAATAATCGCCTCATTAATTATACTTTCACCGTAACAAGGAGGCATACCAAAAAATATCTATCGACATACGGTGTACATTAGACAAAAAGAGGACGTATTTGACAGCGATTTTTATTTATTTAAATTAAAATTGAGAAGCATTATTTCTGACCGTATGCCGTATGCGCAATGAGGTGCACAACAGTGTTAGCTGATACTTAGTGACTTCTCTTGCCTAGGGGATGTTAAGAGGCTTGAGAATAGTACAGACTTACTGAAAGAAACAAGAGGCTGAAGGATGTGAGAACCATTTAGTTCAGCAATATGCACAAACCACGATCTCGCATATGGGACTTGGTTGGCGATCGCATTTGATTCAGGGATAAGCGCAGACCGCAGTCCCATGTATGTAACCCCCTAAAAATGTCTTCCATTAATCAAAATGTAGACAAATCGACCGTAGACGCTGTAAGTCTAAAAAGCTGTAAAAAAAGTGTTGAGAAAGCGCTAAAACGCATATACCTCAAATATTTTAATATCAAATTATGTTAAAATACAACTTGTAAAATTGTAAAACGAAGGTTTACAAATAAAATAAATATTTCACTTACAAAACGAAACAAGTAACAAAATTTCTATTCTATAGTAGCACCCAGAAGTGGTAGATCTTCCCTCTTCTTTTTCCGGTCACATTTTCGACAAAGTTGACTCGAATTAAGGCATCCATTATGATAAATCGCATTACAAACATTACACTATAAGTTCATTATCAAATGAAATACATCATCACACACTTCCACTTACCCTGTAGACATTATCCATCTCGAACGGATACAGCACTTTTGATTTTTTACACACTTCGCAGATGAAACCCTTCTGACTACACAACCAACAATTGTGAACATGATCCACTCCAAATTGAACAACCTTTTGCAGATGTTGAGATAACGCCCCACTCCGAATTTCTGCCAAATCCTAACACCGAATAAAATCATTAATGACTGGATTATTGGTAAGATAACTTACAGCGATTGAATACTGATGAACGTGTTCATACAAGTAATCCTTTCCACCAATTTGGTTCTGTAATTCTTCTATTACGGGTTCACGACACGTGTAAAGGTAATCTCGTAGGAAGTTCAACTGGATCCTTAAATTTTGTAACTTGGCCATTTCGGTAGATACCGAATAAATACAAGGGTTTAAGAGCTGCAATTTTCAAATTGTAGTGATGGTTAAAGCCGCTGCCATGTTCAACCTTTAAGTCAATGGTGGGACGAGTCATCATTTCGGTAATATACGTGAAGGCATTTTGAGATACTTGGTACACTTTGAAATCCCAGTTATGTATAACACGAGCGGGTAAACACACAAGCTCTTCGCTCATGCAATTATCACAGTAGTACTTTGCAGTGAATCCACATGTCCTAAAATTGTGTTTTTCATTTAAGACAATTCTGCTTGAACTGATTTGCATTTTTAGGCTGTAATTACGTTTTTGGCAATTTTATGGAATTGATCTCGCACATCCCTAAACATAGGTACCAAAAAATTCCAGCCTCAACGAAATTTTGTATTTAAGCACTCTTTGAACATGAAAATAACGAATCCATTCCAAAAATTCCAAGTGTAATTCCTGTACTAGCAAGGAAAAAATTGTATGATTTCAACAACCACGGTTAGACGTAACGCATGATTAAAAATGCTATGCCAATGCGCAAAACTCTTTTTAAAAGTTATGTACAGAAACTTGACAGGTTAGTTTGTAAGGCTCCTCTGTAGTCAATTTAGATTTCGATATTATTCGAAGTGGTTAGACCACCAATGTACATTCTTAAGTAGGTATTACATTACCAATTTTGCAACTTTAGCATATTTTGTATCTATTTTTAAATACCGCAATAGATCAGGTATAAAGATGAAGGACCAATTATATGTAAACAAGTTTATTAAAAAGGTGTTAGAAATAGTGTATGAATGTTAAGAATATCCGGGAAGGTGATGCTTTTGCGAGCGAAAGCAGGTACCTACCCTCACCGTGTTGGGGTAGAGCTTTTGTAAGTTTACACTTTAATAACGAGTTGTATTCGTCTAGATATGTTTGTACTTCATGGCTTTATACGCAATAAAAGTACTTTATCGCACAGCAAAAATGGTCCTTCGAGCCAGATGAATCAGAAACGAAATTAGAAGAGGCAGCAAAACCGCAAGTAGTCCATTCATTCCTATTCTAATTAGTAGTGTAGTTTGGCGTGCCCTATGTAACTCTGATCTTTTTTTTTGTTAAGTTTTAGGCGTCCACTACTGTGGTCATTAGCCTATTTACTATAGTTTATTTTTTATTTTTATTTTTTATTTTATTTTATTATCCCTCGCTTGTTTTGGGCCCTCAACAGATCTTCAGATCTTCTTATGAAACATTTGTGTATACTTCAAAAATCTTTATAATGTTGTCGATGTGTTGTGATTGTTCAAGGATCTCTTCCATTTCATCCGTCAGACGAAAATACTGTCTTGTGTGCTCCACTTAAAATACAATCATCTGATCACCACACTGCAAACAAACCGGAGGAGGTTCCCTGCCTAACAAGTGGGCGTGTGTGGTCTGTGTGTGACCTATTCTTAGACAGTGGATCTTCACTCCCTCAACTCTACTGAGATGTAGTGGTGGTCTCCAGGGTTTAGGATTACCCACTGCTGCTGCTGTTGACTGCAATATCATTGATGGGTATTGCAAATAGTATCACACTTAGTGGAGAGTCCTGAGGGATTCCATTTTTCACCACCCTTGGTCTTGAGAGGGTGTTTCCACATTTGAGTATAAAACTCCTGTCACATCAATAGTCTACCAGGAAGAAAGGTAAGTTACCCCTCAATCCTCATCCGTGTAGTTTCTGTAAGACCCCATACCTCCACCTCATATCATATGCCTTCTCTAAATCGAAAAACAGGGGTACCGTATGATGTTGATCCCCGAATGAATCCTGCACAATGCTTTCGAGATAGACAAGTTGGTCGGTGGTTGAACGATTCCAGCGAAATCCCGCCTGATGGTTCACAAGAGACTGATTCGTCCCCAAGTACCACTTGTACTTGTTCATTCTCTCAAGGATTTTTTCCATGCAACAAGTCAGGCTTATGGGCCTATAGTTTGACGGACACAGTGGATCTTCGCCGCCTTTTAAAATGGGGACGACCACCGCCTCCTTCCATTGTCTCGGGTAAGTATTTTCCAGCCATGCTTTGTTGAACGGGTTCAACAGGGACGTTTTGGCGAGTAGAGGAAGACGCCGGATAAAGATGTAGATCCCAGTGACCTTGATTGGGAACAAGACAACGCCTCTTCAAATTCTGAGTAGGGGAGTTCGTCGCCCCTTCCAAAGTCCAGAGAAACTTCTCGCTCCACTTTATTTTCCCGAAAGGGTGATTGATAGTTTCGGGAGTCACTTGCTTCATCAAACTGATCGGCGATCGTCTCGATAACAGTGTGGGGTGAGTTAGTGATACTCCCGTCATTGGTTTTAACCTGGTTAATAGCCTGGGGCCTCTTACCCCTCGCTATTGCCTTTATCTTCCTCCACACCTCAGATATGGAAGTGTTCCAATTGTGGAAACGAATCTGTGCCAAGATGCTTGTTTGCGTTCCAGACACATCTAGCATTCGCTCTGGCACGTTTGAAGGCAACCAAGTTCTCTATAGTGGGATGACGACGAAAGAGGCTTGGGGCTTTTTTCTTGCGAATAATCGCATCCTTCACCCCTATTGAATTGTAGGCAGCTTTGGAATGTTTAGCAACAATAATAATAGTAATAATAATAATAATAATAGTTGATTGACCAACAGAACGCATCCATTTACAGGTCAACTTAAATATATATAGAACATACAAAGCATTGTGCATTAATAACAAAAGAAAATTGAGAGAAAAAAGAAAAGTGAAATTTCAAAAAAAAAAAACAAAAAAAAACAAAAAAAAAGTTAATAACTGCCCCTGAATACATTTAAAGAAAAACAAATATAATGTTATTAAGGCATTAAAATTATTATTAATAATATGCATATAATGCTCGCGTAAAACAATACAAATTGTCTTCAAATTGAATTTAGTATTGCGCCAAGATCAAAATGGTAAATATCGCATGAATTGCATACCTTGTTGAAATGCGCACACATTGTATGAATTGGTGAGCTTTAGTATATTGGTATATGGCACTGCACAATAAAAAGTAATTCCAGTACGCGAGGTGTAAGTAGGAACACGAAAATTCAATAAACTTAACAGTACCAAGGAGTCGATCTTATTATGAATTAATTTATACAGAAAAGTCACACTATTCCTAACCCTCCTTTTCTCTAACGAGCAGAAGTCAGATTTGGCTAACAGTAACGAATAAGGGTATCCCCTCTCCGGATATATACCTTCAACTTTATAAAACAAAAATTTTAAAAACTTACGCTGGACGCCTTCTAGCCTAGATATGTCACTTTTAGTGTAAGTATTCCAAATTAATGCGCAGTATTCCATTTTAGAGCGAACGTATGCAAAGTACAAAGAAGTTAGAGCATTGACGTTGGTAAATGATTTGCAGTTACGCATAATGAAGCCAAGTGATTTCATCGCCGAAGAATGTACCATTTTTATGTGATTAGAAAAGGAGAAACTGGCATCAAAGTAGACACCTAGGTCTCTAGTAGACGTAGAACGGTATAATAATTGAGACCCTATGGTATAATCATATTTAATTGGGTGACGTATACGAGAATATGAAATAATCTGACACTTGGAAACGTTTAGTGTAAGATGGTTAACAGTACACCATTTCAAAAGCTTATTAAGTTGAAGTTGAAATGCCCAGCAATCACTCACATTTGATACTGTTGTGTATAACTTCAAATCGTCAGCAAATATCAGCAAGTTACACGTTAAACTTTCACATAAGTCATCAATGAATAACAAAAACAGCAGCGGACCCAAATTGGAGCCCTGAGGGACTCCAGATAACGAATAAAACAACGAAGACCTATGTTGGTTATAAATTACGTACTGAGTACGATTAGTTAGGTACGACTGAAAAAAATGTACGAGACTGTCACTAAATCCGAAACTATTCAGCTTATATAAAAGGATGGAATGTGAGATACGATCAAACGCCTTAGAGAAGTCTGTATATACCACGTCAACTTGACCACGTTTATCGAGACTCTCTGATATGAACTGAGTGAGCGGCATGAGGTTAGTCGTGGTAGACCTACGCTCCATAAAGCCATGTTGATACGGGGAAAGATAACTCTTAACAAGAGGGTAAATTTGTGAGTGTAGGATCATTTCAAATATTTTTGCAAAATTTGACAAAATGCTAACTGGCCTGTAATTTGTAATCTCTGTCGGATCTCCACTTTTTAACACGGGAGTTACCCTGGCAATTTTCCAGATACTTGGAAAGGTAGATGTTCTAAGAGAAAGGTTAAATAGAACACACAAAGGTCTTATAAATATCTGTCGACAATCTCTTACAAGAAAACTGGGAATCTGATCATGCCCAGCGGTATTTTTGTTGGCTAACTTTTTTATAGTGTTGCACACATCAGACTCGGTAACTATGTCAATTGAACAACAGGGTAAATTTTTAACCGACTGCTGCAACTTAAACGAATTAGCACTAGCCGGTTCATATACACTAGCAAAATGATCAGCGAATCCATTCACTATTTCCGGTGGAGTGTTATACATAATATCCTGCTTACAATGCTTTAGGCAGGAAAACCTATTGATAGAACTAGCAAATTGAGTAGCTTGAACTGCTTCCTAGATAGCAAGGATTTGATACGCGTGTGAGGCCGCCTCGAAAATTCATCTAACCTATTCATCCAAACATCCCTTAGTACTCCCACAGAACCACAGCCTGACTCCTCTCCTCTTCGAAATGGAATACCTAAACCACTTTCACGTGGGACCTCAGATGTGGCTGGTAACCATTACTTAGATTTCGGCCTTTGTCCGGACGTAGCCTAGCCAAACAGGTCGTCCGCCCTCTCGCGCGTCGCCATCGCTTCCAGTCGCCAAGGTGGGTGTAGATTATGGGGGGCGAATTATGATTAAACCATAGAGCCAAGTCATCTAAGGCATATATTTGTCTTTTTGTTTGCTTTGCTTCCAAGGTGCACTTAGAGTTTGTCAGTGACCTTACCACGCAAGCGTTTATATACTGTGTCTACGCCGGTTTGCCCGAGATCCGTTCCGATAATGGAGGAAACTGGGGGCTCGCTCCGAGCTAAAGAAACTTGGCAAGTTTATAGTGACACAGGAAGTTGCTATAACAGAATCTGCAGCAAATTTAGAGATTACTTGGAAATTTATACCTCCATACAGTCCATACTTGGGTGGCTTGTGGGAAATGGGTATAAAGTCTTCCAAGGCACTATTAAAAAGGATCGTTAATAACTGCTCGTTGACTCTTGAAGAGTTGTACATGGGGCTCGTCTAACTAGAGGCGATACTCAACTCTAATGACTGCAACCACTCTCTCACTCTGTCGTGCATTTTATGATTAGACGACCTCACATATGGCTACCCGACCCAGATGTGCTGGATGTTCCTGAAGCAAGATTGTCCCGGTACCACCGCCTAGAGCACCCCCTCAGTGTTGAGCCTTGAGTGGTTCAGTGATCACGCGCCTGTAAAGCAGGTCTTTGCGCTAGTTCAAGAATCCTGGGTTGTTAAATCGAGGGTTTCTGGTATTGGGGGAACAAAAGGAACCGTTTTTTTGTATACATAGCAAGAAAAACCTACAACATGTTCCTAGTCACCTTAATAAGCTCTTCTGCCGACACAAAGGTGTGGCCTTGATACAGTTAGACTGTGTCATACAGGGTAAGCTCAAGTAGTACTAGCATTAGTATATCTCCCGGGAGATTCTGTCAACCTACCTCCCAGCAATGACATGGCAGAACTGATAGAACAATAAACACCTCATTAGAGGGTGTGATTCAAATGCAGGCCATACTACATGGGGGAGAACTGACGTCAACCGCAGGGGTAAATTATTACTTGAATATCGGACAAGTACTAATCTAGAGATTCTCAATCAGGGCAGCGAACCCACGTTTGTAACTACCCGCAGCCTGACTGTGATTGACCTCAGTCTGGTATCAAGTATCTCTGACCACATAACAAACTGACAGGTCACTCCAGAAGCGACTATGTCAAACCATAGAATAGTTTCATTTGAAATTAATTGCACGAGAGCCATCCAACCCCAAGGTAACGGATATTCCCCTTTACGAACATCTCCTTGGAGAAAAACTCTGAGGTCCTGCCCACTTACAGGACAAAGTAGATTTTCTTACCAACTCCATTGTGGAGTCATTTGAACAGGCATGTCCTCTGAGGCACGCTAAGACGCCCTATAACCATCCCTGGTGACGCAGAGTGCTTGAAAAGTAGAAAACTCAGTTGGACAAACTGTTCAATATGGCAAAGAGAGTTTTTGCAGCTCTATAGAATCCACCTCCTCTGAATCTTGCCTAAATAAAATGCTAACAAAAGGTTCATATTATAACCTAGCTAGCCTCAGACGAGAGGATGTACACGGACAACCGCTCAGACACAGCCGAGGTACTGAGAGATGCCCACTTTCCCGAACCCACCACAGCGTCATACCACTTCTGCGGAACTTAACTGTAAAACTAAGACCGATATTCCTAAGTATCGACGATGTTTTTATCATTACAAAGAATATCCTTCAACTACAAAAGCAGCATTTGATAGGAACGTTTGGTTGTTTTTCAAAATAAATATCGGGGAATGACTACAGAGGAGCCTTAAATAAATAAAGTGTACACACCAAATTTCTGACAATTTTTGTTGTCTGTGCACTTGGAATTTTTGCGCGCCCCCGTTTAGGTTCACAGTAATTTCTCCTGCTTAGTAAAGACACGCGAGGTACTGAGACGACGGTCTCAAATAACTACTTGTAGTGCTTACTTGGGTTTAGGCAATAGTGACAGGTTTTCCTTACATTCAGCACATTGGTAGTTCTGAAAATCCAGCCCCTGTTCGCGAGCAATATATAATATGCACTGCAGCATAGACTTCTCAAGGCTGTATTCCAGTGACTCACACACCTCCACAGCAGTTTCGTCCTAGAATAAACCAGTTAAAGGCTGAACAAGCATGACAGCCACTCACCATTTGGACAGAACTTCCCATTTCAGTCGAGCGCTGATCCTGAAAATTTTGCCAAACCTCCTTAAGATCGGAAGTCTTCAAGTAAGTGCCACCTAACAAGTTGTAGCTCTCTATCAAATCGTTATAGCTGGTTTCCATCGACTTCGGATGTTCGGTTTGCGTATTCGCCGCCTCCACCTTATCCAAATTTTCGGATTTCTCCTGAGTTTCAGAAAAGGACCAGCCCGACCTGTGATTTAACGAGTTTCCCAAGTTCGATTCGACTGGAAAATTGACTTTCTCCGATTCGACGCTGGTTGAAACAACCTCGGACAAGTCTGTTGTGCTGGCCTTCTTGTCTTCTTCCGAAATTGGTTTTGGGAGTGACTGTTCCGAAGAGTGTTTCGCAAGGATTATCTTTAAGGCTTCATCTTCGTTTAACGACAACAGACCACCTATTCCAGAACTGTGAGAGTTGAAGGAAATTGCTGAGCTGAGAGAGCCGGTTTCGGAGTTGATCGCGGATGTGGATTGGAGCGATTGAGCCACATCGACCCCAGCTGCAATCTAATTAGAATAACTGTTAATGAATGTTAAAAGACTATAAAGGCTAATTGCACAATTGATTAGATACCCTTTGAGAAGTGTTAATGATAACAAAAATTTAAGTAAACATCTCTGATAATTTTGTTCCGTTATTTACAATAAAAACTCCTTCACTTTGGAAGTTTGTTACAGTAACTAAAATACTTACAGGGCACGATCTTAAAGTAGGCGACCAAATACCAGCCAGAACTAAACTTTGAAGCTGCCACGTATTTAATAGGCTCGTATTACAGGGTAAGTTGAACTCCGTAAATGCCTCTACACCTTCGATTAGCCTCTGAGCGACATCTAAGAGTTCATTATCACGTATTAGGGCATACGTATTATAATATGGTTTTAATACTGAGGAATCCTGTCGCAGGGTCGATAGGTACGATGACAAAAGGCATTCGTTTAATGCCATCCGTATCCATGCTCTGCATTGTCCTATCTCCGTTGTAATTTGTGATAGGTTTTCAATCTAAATACAAACAAAACATTATGTTATTGTGGGTGGCTGCGGTAAATGATGCCAGCATCTTGGAACTGATTAGAAATTCAGCAGATTCTTAATAATAAACCACAAATAGTGCAAACTGGCACAATACTAGAAAGGTAGACAACCCCTCAGAGGATTTTTGATATCATTGCCAATTTTTAGAGATTACCCACTGCCCCTATAAGTTTGAACTTTATTCCCCAAAGATCAGCACTACTGTCCCAAAATGCTGAACAACATAGTAAAGTGTCCATTTTTTAACATAATCATTTGGCATGAACTACAAAAAAATTTCAGAGCTCTAAATCATCCCAAATTGTATAGAGAAGTGTTTCCTCAACTAGTGGGTCGCGAGCGAGCGAGTATTGAATGGGCCCTAATTCACCATTGTGTAAGACACGAATAAAAATAATATAGAAAGTGATAAATTTGATATAGTAATGTATGGGTAATCCGAACCCTCGCTAATCCGAACGCGCCATTTGTAAAATGATATCCATACTCCGAACTCCGGTTTATTATTATTTTTTAACGCGTTTTTGGAAATTTATTTGTAAAAAGGTAGCCCTTAATCTCACTTTGGCCGGCCGGCTGGCTGGCTGACTGGCAGCAAATGCGGGCCGGTAGGGGCGAACGCTTGCCGAAAGAAGAGGAGTGTTCACGTACATACCTCCCTGGCCGTGTAATTAACAATTTTGGGGGACGGGGGTACATGATGTGCGGTCGGCGACATCTGGGCGCCATCCCAGAGAGTGTTATACTAGTTGATTTTCCAGCTTTTTCCGATCTTATTATACCTACAGTTTTGGTCCGATTATTTTCGTTGGAAAGATTTTTTTCCTAGGGGAGAAACAAACCACCTTTTGCAAGTACGTCTTCGCCCACAGATAAGAAAGCCAGGTGATACAACTTCGGTTTCAGGTCGCGAGCAAAACTCTGGCAATAGTAGTAACAAAAGAGCGAGTGACAGCGAGAGCAAGGGAGAAGGTGCTTAAAAACCTGGCAATACAAGACCCTAATTATTAGTCCAACAGGTCAGCGAATATCTTGATGCTATTATAAACTATACCATGCGTGGGTTTAATAATAAAAAAGGTTTTAATTGGGCTGACCAACTGGCGATCCGCGAGCAACCCAACAATCTTAACAAAATAGTGCCACCAACTGCCCCGCCGCTCCAATTTCTTTTGCCCAAGCATTGAAAAATCGTTCAGATCACTCCAAAGCCGACCAAGAAACCTGACACATTCACCACAAGGGTAGACATTAAAGACAGACCCGGATAAAGCCTGCGCTGCAGGTTAAGCTAGGGCAAAACGCTGATCTTTATACGGTTAGGGAAGTTGGGTCGCTCAAATCCCAGGTGATTTTAACTGGTGTGGACGCCGGTTACACAGATGGAATGTTAGAGGAGAGCGTGTTGGAACTGAATGAGCACATTTTCGAACCACATGATTTTTAGTGAGTAAAAGAAAATGTAATTCGCTTAGGGAAAATTGGGTACTAGAGGTACAGACGTCACACTTTAGGGGAGAGACACGATAAACCTATAGCTTGTAAAAACACGGATGGAAGACCACCAAGCCGGGCAGACTCCTCGCGAGAGGAACCTGGTGGTTGGCCAGCTCCTATTTGCAAGAAGAATAGGACTGCACAGAAAGCGATGGCCGAGAAGCGCCGGGTCGAAGGTAAAACCTCAGGTCAAGCGGGCCCTGCGCCATAGCCTAAGACTGTGTCTGGGTCGTTGGCGCAGGGGGGCAACCCGACGTCAGGGACCAAGCATCTCAGATTGGAGGACTCTACGGTTTGGCTCAGGCAGCTTGAGAAGAAGCCTAGAGGTTCTGAAGCGGGTGCACTAAGAACCTATGGGCAAGGCTCAGAGTGGCCATCGTATCACACCCGGAGGTGGACATCACTGAGCCTCAGCTGAGGTCCATTATGGCTGCATTTAATGCAGTTGTCGACACGGGATGCAGGGGAGGGGGCCTTTCCTCGGTTGGCATGGTTCCACTGGAATCAGGGTGCCATTGTGGACTAATGCGAGGACCAGTGGACCTTGGACTGAGAACTCCGTCTCTCTTATTTAGGTCCTGAAAGTTCAGAGACACATCCCTAGGGTAACCAAGGTGATGGCTGTGTTATAGGGGCTCCCGGATGACACAGCCACTATCTTGAAGCGCCTCCAGAGGCTAAATCCTAGTTTCGGGGCAAGCCTATGGAGGACGTTCTTCCATAGGGAGGAGCCTGGTAGGGTTCTCCTCGCATCTGCTGTCGATGAGGCATCCTATCAGGCACACGCGGCACTTTTGTGACGAAAATGAATGCTCCTAAGGGAGAGAGCTCCACCGGAGCAGCATGAATGTCTGCTGGGGGGTAGCCCTGGGAGCCAGGATCAAAGACAAGGCTCAGTGGCAATAAGTAACTGGACTCAGACATTCCAGGATCTTTTTAACAGAGCCCCTTGGCAAATCGGGGTCTTCTAAAACTGACTAGAAGCCCTATTAGGAAGATCACCTGTGTCCTTACGGGGCACTGGATGGTCAACTGCCACCTGCATAACACTTGGCTTGTGTAGCAGCCCATGTGCAAGTTCTGTGGGAGGTAGAAGAAACTACCGAGCATGTGGTTTGTCCGAGGGGGTAATACATGAGCAAAATGTTGTACGAAAGACTACTAGTTGCAAAAGACTACCATAGGACTACCAGTGACTACCCCATGAATACCAGAGACTACCATATAAATACCAGAGACTACCAATAAACACCAGAGACTTCCATATGAATACCAGTGACTACCACATGAATACCACAGACTACCAATGAATACCAGAGACTACCACATGAATACCAGTGACTACTCAAGACTACCACACAGGTGGCAGCGAGATAAGGAGTTGTACCTGGACTGCAACCGGTGTTGGGTAACATCCTTTAATTCTAGATCTAGATACACCTCCAGATGCATTTAAAATCATGATCTAGATCCAGATCAAAGATCCGCACCTAGATCAAGATAGTCCTAAAATGATCTAGATCCTTTATAGATCCTTCATAGGTAAATCTGATTTACATCGGTGGCTTTGATTCATTATTCGGAAAATGCTTAGGTACTTTGGTTTTGCAACTTTGGACTTACCAAAAAAACACCCTGTACGTTGTATTTTTAATGTTTCATAGTAGATGTATTTATTTGACTTTTACTTAACCCAAGGTAAGATATAAAACCTGGAATCAAAATTTAAGTAATTTTGGGAATATACTGACGCTTGCAAATGCCCAATTTTTCTTAAAAATCGAATTATCTTTAAGACCACTAGCTTTGCGGATATTAACCATATAATAAAAAAGACACGTAGAATTCAAAAATGCAGGGGATTCTATTAAAAAAAATGTACCACTTTGTGGGTGCACCCTGTATAATTCAAAATATTTTTAAAATGTGGAGAATATTCAACCATATCATAATGCAAAAGTATTCTATCGAAAAATCTGATCTTCAAGGCTTAATGCCTCCGCGCAATCGTTGACTCACCCTGTACTGTAAATAATTACCGATACTACCCCCTAAGCTAAACTACCCGTTATGCTAATGACTATTGACTTTCTGCTTAAACCTGTCTACTCTTAAAAGACTGGTAAATCCCTAAAACTTGAATGGATCATATTTATTGTTTAAACATAGAAACGATTTACTCCGCCAATGTTAAAAACATTTATAACATAAATAAATTAAAATTGATCTGTGGATCTACTAGTGGAAAATCTATTATAATGTAATCTAGATCTAAGATATTATGTGATTATCATGGAAACCTTGGCCTCGACCTTGGCCTGTTTTTAAACACACAAGACAAATCATTATTACTGATTGAATCGCTACCATCTTTAAAACAGAATCGTCACCTTCAATCACCAGCACTGCAACAATCAATTCAATTAATTTAAAAAGTTGCGATTTGATAGACAAAATCATAAAAGCCATAGTTTATACCGGAAATACCTACCTACAGGCAAAATGGAAAATAATAAAAAAGTTAGTAAATGCTCATAGGAATACCAAAGACTACAACCAGAAAACCGGCGATTACCACTGACTACCATCGGAATACCAGAGATTACCATTGACTACCACGGGAATGCCAGAGAATACCACTGATTACCTTCGGAATACCAGTGACTACCACAGGAATACCAGAGACTACCACGGGAATACCAGTGACTACCAGTCATGTGTACGAAAGAATACCACACCGACTAACCCCTCGGGTCTGTCACTGTGATGCATTGATCAGAGACATCAACTCCTTGGAGACAGCTATCTGGAACTGGGGAAGAGTGTCCTTTATTGAGAGGAATGGGCTCTGAACCCTGTTGCGAAAAAAAAGAGGGTGGGCACAATGAACATTTGGTGTGCCTGCCCTAAGTGATGTCTGATACATACAATGCCCTCTCTTCCGATTTAAAATTATACTTTAAAATCATTTAAATACAATAAAGGTGTATGTTGTGATATCCTTGCTGTATACAACTTCTGTCTGTACCTATCATTATGCAGTGTTTACCATATGCTATAAATAGGGCGAGCTGCGATATATATCTTTTATTATTTCATTACCTTTGATTGTTCCTCTTCTGAGCAATATTGCAGTTTGTTTAGGGTTCAGTGGAAGAGCAGGGAAGACAGTAATGTTGTTAACTAAACTTCGCCTTTGGGCCAGATTCATTAAAACATAATTCTTTTTGCACACGGGCACAAGAAGTAACAAAACTTTTGTTTCATATATTTTACAGTATGTACTGAACTTTATTTTTTCTTTATTTAAAATAATATTATTGTATACGTGTGCCAATGTTCTGATGAAGCAATTTATTATTATTATTATTAATATCGAGATTAATATTATAAAGCAGATGTGCGCATGCGCTCATTGCCAACTTTCATATTTATGGAGATATTATTTGAAATTTTAATTAAAGATGCTTCTAGTAAAGGTAAACACTCGGGTAAACATATGCACTCGCATATGCAAAGTATCTTATAATGTAAAAATGAGATGTGCGCATGCGCAATGCCAACTTTCTTATTTATGGAAACATTTCTTTCAAATTTTAACCGTGGATGGTTTTGGGAAATACTGATCAATACATGGAAAATAAGCTAAAGTTACTCGCCTTAGAGCGGAAATCTTTATATTTTTATTAAATTTTAAGGGTTTCAGTAAAGGATGCTCACTAATCCAACCCACTATACTCGGATTCAAGCTAGGGACTCCAGTTGAGCTTCCACTCCACTGCGCCACATGAGCAATTATGATAGACGAATCAATATGTGAAAGTGCAGATCTTATTGAGGAATAATCAAAGGTCTGGGACCTATTTAATCAGAACAATAAACTATAGAAATTCGCAGCTATTTTGGTCATCCATTTTCTTAAGTCCCACCTCGAAAAATACCTGCCACCCCTGCTACTTCATCCTGTTTACAAACTCTTTGAAGATTCATACAGACCTTACTTAAAGACTTAACCATGTTCAGCTACCACATGGTCTGACTGGTAGATGCTTTTAAAGAAGAACAAACTAAAAAGACCGATCATACAAGATATTGCAAAAAGTTTAATAATTAAAGAAATAGGAAATTACAATCATATCGAGTGTAAAAGAAAATATTGCTAGAGCAGCTCCTAGAAACCCCTGTCTATAAAACAGCTGCATTCCATCAAAGTTTAAAAATTATTGACGAAACCATGGCATAGCTGTTGCTGTCTTGCTAGAGTTGAGATATCCGCGGCCAATTATTCAGAATTCGTAAATTATGGAAATAATTGAATTAAAAGTGTCCGACACTTCATTCTACTTCAGTTCAGACTAGTTATCTGAATGTTGATATCTAAAAAGTTGAGAAGTACAGTGAATTGAAAACACAAACTGAAATCCAAAGCTGCATTCATTCAGTTGACTAACTACTTTACAGATTAATTTACTGTAATTAGCTCAAGTAAGAATCCCTTTTCTTGATTAATACATAATATATGCATTTGTGTATTCAAGTTTTTTGCTCTTTGCCAATAGATAGAGCCTCTGTATACCTAGTACTAATTTTGAGCACTTATTTTTTGAATTGTGAATGTTCTGCCCTACGTAAGGAGATTATGAATGCAGCTTTACTTTGGTCTTTGACTGTATAATTCGTAATTGAACCACGAAATAATATAAAAAATGTCTGACAGTAAATACCAACCTGATTAATATTTTGTTTGTGCGAAATGATCAACAGTGGGGCCCAGAAACTTGGTTCTGGCCTTTCGTCGAGATCTGTAATGGCACGCCGAGCCTGGTGAACCAAAGAATCCTTAAGTCCATGTAAAAACATTGCCTCGATGACGGCACATAAAGCACTTTCGGCCTCGTTCATTTGCAAAGAATCGGAAGAAATAGTATCCCCCATATGATATAACTGTATTTCCTTAACACTATTTGAAAGTTGTGTTATAATAGAATCTTTGATTAAAGTTTGTCTTTTCCGAGCGACAGCATTGACACTTTTCATAAAAGCTTTCATTTTTATTGTGTACTTATAGCGACTTCAATCCATACTTCTTAAGAATTCTCTTTGAATGTTCTTCGGCTATTCCCTTTCGGGTGATTTCAAACACTCCCGGATCGCTTAAGTCGATAACGGTCGAAGCACTTCGATTCGAATCTCCAACTCCTAAAGGTCCCCCGTCGAAGACACCACCCAATTTATCCCAAAGTGTGACAAACTCTTCTATTCTGACAGAACTAGGTTCGCTGCTTACGTTCGCACTGGTTAACGCTAACGGAAAATTTAACTCGTTACAAACATCTATTAAAAATGGCTTATCGGGAATGCGTACACCAACCTTGTTTCGCAAGCTCAACGATTTGTCTAGTTTATCCGCACAAGTTAGCACTAAAGTCACAGGCCCCGGAAGCAAAGAGGCGAGCAGGCCGTCAGGCAAATGGTCGACTATTGCCCAACGTCGTACATCGCTTACTTTACCGACACATATCGCCACAGGTTTATTTTCGTTGCGAGCTTTCAGCTGGAACAAGCTATTAATTGCGCTTACATCGACCGCACTACAAGCCAAACCGTAAACTGTGTCAGTAGGCAAAGCGATAACATGTCCCTGTCGCAAGAGATTTACAGCAGCCGATACAGCACTGACATGTTCAGTAGGCAAATGTAAAGCCATAGAAGCACTTCTCGCAATTGTCTTTAGCACATTGAAAAACATTTATTCAGTAATAACTGGCCAAAGGATTACAGCACGTGACGCAAACCTAACAATAAAAAAACCGATTAGCATTATAAAAACGTTAAATTTTCAACAAAATAAGATCCACCACCATCAACTTTAACATTGCGACACTTACAACATAAATTACGCCGTGATTCATCGTCAGCCTTCCGGAAATACGTTATCATCTAATGCGTGTGCAGCAGAAAATCATAAACAAACTATGCAATAATTACTGGAGCATGTTTTGACAATTGTTAATTACGAATTACCTTTCAGGTAATTTAATTCAATCTGCAATCTGCGGTTTTCTGTAATTTTAATAATTAATAGTTTCAATACACCAAAGATGGCGGTAAAATCATTTGAACTAAATATACACAGGGCGGCATATTGAAAAGTAGTTCAAAAAAACTAATATCCTAAATCCTCAACTGCAAACCAAGTATAATAAGTTTAAAGCTCTTAGCTTAAGGCTGGACAGTACATACAGAACGGAGTATGTAAAGTTGCCTATTGTCAATCCCCAAATTTGGTTAATTATAATATTAATTTGTGTTCGATGGTAAAAACATAAACTTAGTCCAATTATAATGCACATTTTCTATCTGTATAAAACCAGCCACGCGGCGGAAGCTATCTTTTCGCGCTTTTTAGAAAAACTTTTAAGTTGTTTTTCCAAGATAACTTATCTATAAATGAAGTTGGAACAATTTCCAAAATTAAGATACGTTCGTAAACTTAATATCTAGGCAATAACGCCAGGAAAATTTATTTCCTTTTTTCTTTTCCAAAATATGACACCCTAACAGCCCTCGACGTTGCCCTTAAAAAAAAGATTATTTTAAAACATTTTAGTAAACCCCGGCGTTATTGTCTAGCTAAAGCATTCACCTTTCACAGGATTATTCGACCCCTTCTTCAACTTCACTCAGAATTAAGATATCGTGGAACGAAATCACGCGTTTTCGGGCAACGGAACGGGTGTACTGTCCAGCCTTAATCTGTAAAGTTGCAAGTAATGACGAATTAAAACAACGTTTAAAAGGGATGTATAAATCATTAGCTAAATAAGTAAGTAAGGCTGAAAATAAAGCGAAGACCTTATGGGATCTTATTGGTTCAACTCGGTCCAAAAAGAAACACATCGATTCTGAAGATTTCGCCATTTTTTCCAAAACGTAGTTTCCCATAATGATACTCCAACCAAAGTACTATAAAAACCATCATTAAAAAATCGTTCTTTTTTAAGCCATCATCCCCCAATGAAATTTACAATATAATAAATTCATTAAAAGGACAAAAATCTTATATATGATGAGATGAGATTCCCAACGCTCTTCTCAAATGCCGTTCGGACACTATTGCTCCACAACTATCAAACATTACAAATTATTGAATAACTCAGGGCGTATTTCCTGAGAAGCTAAAAACAGCCCGAGTAATACCAGTCCATAAAAAGCGAGAGGTAACTGAGATCAGCAACTACAGACCGATCTGCGTATTAAGCTCTTTTTCAAAAGTTTTTGAAAAATGCATATACGAGCGCCTAATGAAGTTCTTTGAAAAGTTCCAAATTCTTTCCCAATGACAATTTGGCTTTCGTCCACGAATGTCTACAGAAGATGCTACCACCCACCTAGTGCAACATATTTATAACGAAATTGATTTAAATAAACAATGTTACGTTGTATTATTTGACATCAAAAATGCTTTCGACAGCATCGACATAAATATTCTTTCGCAATTCTGTGTGTAGTTTTTCTATGTAGCTGAACATATATACACTTACATTCATAGCAATTTTTAATTAGGGGAGTTGTAACCTTTGCGCACCGAATATTTTTGTTTCTAAGAATGATTTAAAAGCAAGCACGAAAATGGACTCTAAAAATAAATTTCCTTCTAGTATTAAACTTACGTAAATTTTATGAAAATTATGTTTAAATGATCTATAGGCAGCCCCGAAACTGTCCTCTAATTATAAATTTCTTTCTCATTTTAACCTTACGTTGTTTTCTAGAAATGTCGCTCTTACATACTATATAGCAATCCTCTACTGCAGGGGTTGTAACTTTTGGAGCGCGTCGAATATTTTTGTTCCTTTAACCGATTAAGATTTAATGATCTGTAAACCATCCCAAAAATGCCCTCAAATATAAATATCATTCTCGTTTTCAAGTTACGTTGTTTTTTTACGAAATATTCACTTACATGCATAGCATTAGTGCCTTGCGAGGGTTGTAACTTTTATAGTAGTCCAAGTATTTTTGTTTACTTGATCGATTATGTTAAAATGATCTATAAGCAGCCCCGAAACTTCCATATAATTATATTTTTCATTCTCGTTTTAACCTTACGTAATTTTCTAAAAATGTCGCTCTTACATGTACCTACCTATAGCAGTCCTCCACTGCAAGGGTTGTAACTTTTGTAGCGCTCCGAATATTTTTGTTTCTTCAACCGATTAAGATTGAATGATCTATAAAGCACCCCAAAAATGCCCTCAAATATAAATTTCATTCCCTGTTTAACTTACGTGATTTTTTATGAAAATTCTACTTATATGCATAGCCTATAGTACACAGCATTAGTGCGTTGTTGGGGTTATAACTTTTATAGTGGTCCACATATTTTTGTTTGCTTGATCGATTATGTTAAAATGTTCTATAAGTAGCCCCGAAACTGCCCTCAAATTATAAATTTCATTCTCGTTTTAAACTTGCGACATTTTCTAGAAATGTCGCACTTGCATGTATGGCAGTCCTCTACTACAGGGGTTGTAACTTTTGCAGCGCGCCGAATATTTTTGTTTCTTTAACCGATTACGTTTAAAATATCTATAAAACACCCCTAAACTGGCCCCCAAATATTAGCATAGTTCTATTCTTTACACTAAGATATTAGTTTCATTCCCGTATTTAACTTACGTTATTTTCTTATGAAATTTCTACTTATATGCATAGCATTAGTGCATTGTGGGGGTTGTTACTTTTAAAGTGGTCCAAGTATTTTTGTTCACTTGATCGACTATATTTAAATGATCTTTAAGCAGCCCCAAAGCTGCTCTCTAAAAACACTTACCTACATGAACAGCAATCCTCCCCTGCAAGGTTTGTAACTTTTGCATAGCACCGAATATATTTGTTTCTTTGATCGATTATGATTAAATGATCTATAAGCAGCCCCGAAACTGTCCTCTAATTATAAATTTCATTCTCGTTTTAACCTTAAGATCTATAAACCTTAAGATCTATAAAACACCCCTAAACTGGCACCTAAATATTAGTTTCATTTCCGTATTTTAACTTACGTTATTTTTTTATGAAATTTCTATTTATATGCATAGCATTAGTGCATAGTTGGGGTCGTAACTTTTATTGTGGTCCAAGTATTTTTGTTTGTTTGATCGATTATGTTTAAATTATTTATTAGCAACCCCGAAACTGCCTTCTAATGATAAATTTCATTCCCGTTTTACCCTTACGTAATTTTCTAGAGATGTCGCTCTTACATGTACCTATAGCAGTCCTCTACTGCAAGGGTTGTAACTTTTGCAGCGCGCCAAATATTTTTGTTTCTTTAACCGATTACGTTTAAATGATCTATAAACCACCCCTAAACTGGCACCTAAATATAAATTTCATTCCCGTATTTAACTTACGTTATTTTATTATGAAATTTCTGCTTAGGTATATGCATAGCATTAGTGAATTACGGGGGTTGTAACTTTTTTAGTGGCTCAAATCTTTTGTTTCTATGATCGATTATCTTCGACAACATTAGGAGGTATGAAGGAGTGGGTAATTGGGTATACCTACAGGTGATTGGAAAAGTAGTTTGTACACTCTACATTCTATAATGACAATTAATGGAGAATCGGAGAAGCATATTAAGTCAACTTCAGTGTAATTCAGAACACCACCACCACGTACTTACGTCATTCAATTTGCGGTCGCTTCGGTATTTATATATAATATAAGCACTAGTGATGATCTCGCTTATCATCCGAAAACCAAGACAGAGAATATCATACTCCTCGTACGCAATTCTTGGATCATTTTAGTTTTTCCTTAAACTGCGAACATTTTGGAAACAACATACAACATTAGACAAACGGTTACGCCGAAGGGATAATTGGGCGACCTCTTACGTAGGTACCTATTTAATGTTCACATTGGTTTCTCCTCTTTCAATTCTCTCGCTTAATTCTCTTCTTAGCGATCTGTGATGATCGAGCTACCTACGAGTTTTTCCGATGAGAAATAGATATTGCCGAAATTTTTACTGCTATTCAATTCCTTAGATTTGCGAAGTATGCTAAATGCTTTGAAAGGAAAAATTACCTTTATCGGTTTTGGTCTAGGTATCCCACCATCAAACTTACCTAATCGAAATAATTTAACGTTATCGGGTTCATCGGGAATAGATCCAAGAAAGATTAGCATTTTCTTGATTATACCAGCATTCGCAGAATCCCGCTCATTTGTTGCGCCCAAGGTACGTTTATCTGCTCCAAAGACCGCAATGTTGCGTTTACGCCTCTGGCGATCCTCAATGTTTTCAAATAATTTACTATCGATCTTAATAGTCGCATTATTAGACTCAAAATTAGCTTTGAGGTGTGCCACTTCTTCTTTCAACTGTACGATAACAGATCCGTGATATCCGAATTCAAATTCGTACAGTCGGAGCAAGTGCAGAATACACGTGGTTTATTAATTTAGTATACCCGCAAGTATACATGGCATAGGGGATTAGAAGTGTCCACGAGGCTAGAGAAATGTTTATAATACGACAATATAATAATTGTTTAACGTAATCATGCAGTTCCTTAATACCGAATAAACGTACTCGCATGACGTTACCACTTCTCCAAAGTGAGCAGCGACAGCACAAAAATGTTCTATACGCGTTTTACACTATCCAATAGACGTAGTAACAGAATTAATTTACCGCAAATAATTGTTTATGTTTAATGTTTTCTTCAACAGTAGTTTCAACTATTACTTTCTTCTAACATTCTTCAAGCATCTTTTACTGTTTTTGATTCGATTATCTTTATTTCGGTATTGAGTCACTCTAAAATATTAATCTATCTTACCTGAATCTCAGTATGACAAAGTTTAACTTCTTGAATAACTGCTCCGGTTCCAAGTGAGCAGTCTATAGTAGTAATGTAGCATCCAACTTACTTTTTCCATTAAGTTTTGATATAGGTCTCCATTTCCGTAACGATTGCTCATCGACATAATGTGCCTAAGATCCTCACACTACAACCTAATAAATTTTCAAAATATATTTAAATCCTATATTTTAACACAATTATCGCAAATCTATAAACTATACAAGGTGTTATATAAATAATGCTTTCCATGTAACCTCTATAACATATATACATAGTTTGAAGTAAATAAAACAATTAATAATACTAGTTTAACATGACTAAAGTAACAACATAAGTATCCAGGCTTTCCAAGATATAATCTACATAACCGCAGTAATTCAGTAACATCGTTTAAGGCGTCTTACTTTTTATACTAGAAGGTATATGGGTAGGTATCTCACGATGTGGTAGGGTGGGGTTAACGTACCCTTAATTTAAAGATATTATATGACTAGAGGTTTCTGCATTATTTCCGTTGTCCCAAAAAATGTGCTTACCTTCTAATAAAAAAAGATCTCCCTGGTAGGTTGGTGTAGGTTCGGTCCGGTGATATGGATTTTGTTCATATACTAAATTGAATAATGTATAGTGCTTATCAATGGTTCAAGCTTATTTCGTTGTGTGGTTAGATAAAGATTAATCTTTTGCTACATTTCCAGTTGTAGCAGAATCACATACCTGAATTATGATCTAAATGTACTGACTGTAATTGAAGTAAGTAAAATCTGTTGACAAGACCTATGTCATAAAGTAAAAACTATTTTGAGCAGAAATTTAATATTAAAGTTATGTAGTCTTGAAGTTTCTTCATCTTCCTCTCTTAAATCTCAGAAGACTATGTACTACTACAACATTGATCTAAGATCTATGTGTATTTTACGTAAATAATAATAATTTATTATAACACTGAGTGTATTCAAGGCATAAATTTATCTCATTTATGATTTGGACATACAGGACCGAAGTTGTTTCGTAAAGGAGAAGATCTTAGATATCCACAATTTTTCCTTGCAATAAGTTCAGTAACGTTCACCATGAGATAAATCCTGTGCCTTGGATAAATAAGTAGTAAGTATAAATATTCACAGTCATTTTCTTTGGCAAGAAGTTTTGTCATTATACACACATCAAACTTATATATCATATATTCTCATAACTTAAATGGACAAATATAACATTAACGTATATACACAGCACAAAAATATAATACTACAAACCGATATTGCACATATTAAACAAACCATATTAAATATGGAATACATTGTAAAAACGTAATATAATTACATATTATCTCTAAGTAAACTCTTTGAAAAATCCTGGAAGCCAATGGTAGACATCCCTTACTTACACAAAACTACAATTACGTAACCAAAATTCTGAAAAAAACTACGTCCTAGACTAAGGTACTAACAGTATCTCGAAGGTTTTATGAAAGTAAGCGATCTGCTAAAATATTTTTGTTTCTATCCTTTGCAATTCCTATAAACTTAGCCAACCTCTCACAACCATGTTAAACCCTTATCACAAAAGCTGTGCTATAACTGGTTGAATCAAGCACATATGTTCAGCTCCTCTTATCGGCAACCGATTCAATGAGAAATGCCTAATCATTTCAGGTATCGAACTGAATGGTTTACTAAACTGTCCTAAAATGAATGAACCGTCATTACCATCTCGCTGTATCCTCATATGCATAAATCCACGAGCGCTCCTAGAATAAAATTGACTACTTACATTAAACTTACACAATTTAAACATTCACGCTCAAAATTGGAAATTATAGACTCACAGGCATACTTCAGTCTCTTATCTTAACACTTTTAATTCTCACCAAGAATAGGTTCAGCCAAAACAATTGCACGCTATTGCAACAGATTTCTATAAAAGATTCATGTTCAAAGATATACTTTCGGTTGACCAACGATCATTTGGGGTGATGGCGCGCAATGGGTCTAATCTATAGAATTTTTATGAATCCTATTATACAATCATGGCGCTTAGTTTACAAGTTTTACAGTTTATTATTTTACTGACTGAGTTCAGTACACTGACTTGACCAATGCACCAAGAGGCACGATAGGTACTGGTTTTCCATGTTCTCCAGTATCAAGATTGGAAAACTAAAAGACGCAATCTTTTTTCCGGATAAGCTAAAGTGTTTGATTCAAATGTTAAGCGCCTGCTCCAGTACTTATACAGAAGAATCGTACACTGGAAAAAGCCACACCACGAAGCTACCATGGGACCATGGCGAATGTGCATTTCATTCCAGAAATGAAACCATCCAGTTTCTAAGTGTTACGGTTTTTTTATACATACCTATACAAAAAAGATACTATGGCCACAGCGCGTGGAAGATCATTGACCATCCCATAAAAGACCATTGAATTGAAATGAAGAATCGGTTGTAGGGACTACCTGCAGTCTCTCAAAAAAAACAACGTAAACTTCTACGGCACCAATTGAGATCCAGCTTGAGCCAAGCTCAAACTAGTGACTCTTGCTTGATTTAACCAGAGGGTATTAACCATATCACTAGATCGGCCTTTTCAAGAAACTGCAAAGATGAGATTCCAATGCAATTCCGACAATGGCAATTTCTTTTTGTTGTTTACGTTGGTGATGTCGAGCTGAAGAGTTTCCGAAGGTAAAGTTGAAGCAGCAGGTCCGTTTGCGGTCATCGTCATATTACTCTTTTAGCCACTCAACTGCGAGAGGATAATTAGTACCTACAAGTGATCGGAATCTATTCAAAAACGTAAAATCTTTTCCGATTTTTTGGGGTAAACCAATGCCCTAAGACATTTTGGTCCAGATGTAGTTAATTTCAGAAAAGAGTGCAAACTGTGTACAATTCCAGTCAAATTAACCACAGTCCCCTAGAAAACCATTGGATTGAAATGAAGAATCGGTTATAAAGGAACTAACCTTCCTTCGTTACAACTTGTTGCTTCAGATTGTCTAATTGATGATCGTATTAACCATTTTTCAAGTGAAATGCGCACTCTCTAATTTAACTTACACGCTTTTAATGGCTACACTTTTTTGACTGAAAAAAATTAGGCATGGTTTGTAAGTTGAAAAACGTTTGTAAGAAGTTAAGAACGTATGTAGTGAGTGTAAGTGAGTGGGAGGTGAATTCTCTTATCCAAAGCCTGTTATATTGTGTTGGTTTTTGTTTTCGCTTTTACAGCGTTTGATAGTGCCTGCTCGTGGTAGTTTACCGGTAGCCAAAGGGATGATCCCCATGTACTATACCAATCGTTTCAAATGCATCATTTTTGCCTAGAAAATGTGAAAAATTGAATAACAACCTAAAACCACTGACCAATTGGCACCTATTTGGCTATATTGCCAAATTGTTTTCGATTTGACGGTACCGTCAAACCCTGAAACTACATAGGTCGAGAAGAAGGATTTCGAAGATTGTTCAAAGGGACCGAAACCTACACATTCGATAGCCTCGAAGGATAGTCGCATTTCGGATTACCAAGATCTTAAAGTTTCTTGACGACCCCTGTAACGGAAAAGTTTACACACCAACCACCATTCCACTCTAACTGCACTTCTCTCAAACCGAGAGAAGAGAAAGGGAGTGTATTTTATAAAAAATTAGTTAAAGACTATGAGATGATTAATTAATGATCCTACGTACTTTAGTGAGAGAGAATAATCCTGCCGCGTAGATTCACTATTCCTCACTAAATAACTACCTTCTTTTAATAATCGCAAAACGGTTTCAGCTTCCACTCGAGTGATTGCCCCATGAAACCATCTGAAAACTTCACATTAAATAAAAATTTAAAACCACAAAGGAGTCACTTACGCTTGTTTCTCCAATGGTACGTTGACATCAATTGAATTACTTGCGACTGTTTCAGAAGTTGTGGGATTATGCGTTCGTAAACCTACCAGGCCTAAGCCTAATCCTATTCTGTGACGTTTTCCAACATCTGTCAAATTTAATGTAAGTTTTGGTCGAAAATCGCTACCTGTAATCATTTCACGGTTATGGTAGTAACGAATGAACTTGAAAACTTACTGTGCATATCAGCTTCTACAACACTCTGGCTGGATGACGCTTGGGACACACTCGATTCATTGCTACATTGTTGTATTCGTAATCGCCTTCTTAGTTTTGGCATGTCAAACGGCAAATCTCGCAAATCTACGGAAGTCGCACTACCAGAGGTGCAGGCGTCTTGGGACATTATCCTTCTCCTCCGCAACTTCGGCATATCAAACGGGAGGTCGGGAAAATCCTGTTGATTTGGAATTGAAAGTTCAGTTGCAAAGCCAAACCTGGACGTTATTCCTTCTCGCGATTGAATGGATATACCGCTGTCTGAACCCTGTATTTCTGCATCACCCGTATGAAATCCGAGATTTAATAAGTTTTTATTTTGGGGCACTCTTCTTTTCGTTTTTGTGTTCTCTGGGGTTGTAATTTCATCCGGCGAGCATTTCTGAGAGTTGTTATTTCGATTGATGTCCGATGTCTCCGATATAGGTTCCTGCGAGGATTTGTCAGATATTGGACTGAGAATATGTAGCTTGTTAGCGTGCGCTAAAAAACCGGCTTGAGGAGCCGAGAATCCGGTATTCGTTCCTGAATCGGAATCGTGTGAGCTTAGAGAAGATGAGTGGTGACTTTCGGAGCTTGTGGTACTTCTATTTCCTTCGCTGGTGCTGCTGCGAATGCTTTCCATACTTCCGCCACTGCTGCTGGTAGTGATACTTTCAGTGCTTGAGTACTTATATCGCCTTCTTCGTTCCTTAAATTCTAGGACAGAGGTTTTTGATAAGTCTTTTGGTCTTTTTAATAGTAACAGATCTTTACGAGGCCTATCTTTAATTTCTAGTATTCGTTCTTTTTCGTGTTTCAAATTATCTTGATGGCCGGACCATCCTTTAAATTCCGACAAATTATTTTTTGCACCGAATTCGATGTCAAAAATGCTTCCTTGTGCCTGTAAACTACCGCTGCTACTAGCTGGCGATCGGCCACGTAAAGATTTAATGGGTAAACGTAGATCTTTTAAACGCAATTTTTGGTGCGAGGGGAGGTTAGGTGCGCTGCGAATACTGTTCATAACAATATCTTTCCCATGAAATTTGGTTGGTAGAGGAGCCGTGGACGGAGGAGATGGTGTATAACCCCTTAATCGTAACGATAGTACACCAGAAGTGGTGGACGTTTCTTCGGCCGGTTCCAGTTGCATATCTTGCAATGTCTGAGACAATGCTGATACAGAATTATTGTCGTTTTGGATTGGCTGAGGGCAAACGACAGCTACTTTGTAGCCGTTACTAGAGGAGTCTGCTTTGTAACATGAATCTAGTCGCGATGTTTTATTGCCGTTAAGTTGGACAAGCACTGGGTGGTTTGAAACTTTATCAATTTGATCTAGATCGTCATCAGATTTGTTGATGCGACAATCAAACGCAGTTTCATACACATGCCTTTGTCGTGTCATGTCGTCATCTAATCCATCATCTGGTGTAAAGCAAGCGCAAGGTGAGGTCAATCTATTAGGAGGCATAACCGCGTCAGGTGCCGCATCACGCGAGTCAGTGCTTTGAGTATCGACGCTCGAACTCTTCTTGGAATATAATTGACTAAATTGCTTGGCTCGGAAAGGTTCGTCTATATTGGGAGTATCTAAACTTGAGCTTTTCCAGTATTTGATTTGGTGAAACGTTTTTTGATTATCTAAATTTTGATTTAATAAGTAATCTGCTTCGGACCCCTTGTACGCTGAAATTCTGGATGGCGCAGAACTTTCTCCTTCCGATTTATCGAGGCTCAAACTCTTTTTGCACGAATTCGGTTTGGAGGGAGATTCGTCAACTTTACTTTTATATAAGTCACCGTAATAGTACGGGGAAGGGTGCCTTTTAACATCATTACGCGTTGGCGACTGAACATTAACTAACGGTAGTATTGCTTCGGCTATGCTATCGGGCGAATTTAATTCTTGCGGTTTAACTAGTGTAATATGATGACCAAAAAAGTCTTCATCTGAGGAAGGCTCCGAGGATCCCTCTGTAAATAAAATCATATATTACTTTATTTTATAACAAACCCAAAAATTACACCAACGTTATGTGGCATTTTTATACTAGGGGGTGATTTGTTTAAACGCGTAGGGGATAACATAAACACAGCTGCAGAATACATACGTCATTTTGCATCATCTCCTTTTTTAATGTTAAAAATGTGTCCAATCTGAAAACATGTTTGCAGATTGTTTGTAATTTAACTTTCTCACTTAATATATCACATAAACATATATTCCGTACATTCTAATAGCCCAGAACGGGAACTTGGCAATTCGGAAACAAAGGTGGGCTTAGGCATCATATTAATCAGTATTCACTAAAAAAGTATTACAAGAATAAAAGGGAGAAACCGTTTAGAAGGGGAGTGAAAATGAATTAAAACAACTTAGCGACTACTTACAGAAGAATCTTTTAATAATTATAATATAACCCCTAAAAAATTAAATTTCCTTTGAAAATTTATGGAAACGTTTCGGGATAAACTTGAGATCCATTTAGTTTAATTAAATTTATATGGGCACCTGGATAAGTTTTAAAAACGTGGATTCTTTGAGCAGTCCCGAATTTATGATTAATTACTTCAGCCAACTTTTAAAAGTGATAAATTACGTTAGCGTTGGGCTGAAAACCGAAAATTTTGAAAGCACGACGACGTGTGGAGTTCGAATACGCTCTTGAAAATCGCCGTAACGCGTGGACTATTTAAATTGTAGGCAAACCGCAAAGGTGGATGGGATGCTCAAGAGATAACTCTAGGGATTAGTATAGGGGTGCTAGTATTTCACAGTCTCCTAGGATTGAGCATCTCATTAATTCATTTCTTACTTTCTTCCACTAATGTACCTGATGCAGTCTCAAAAAATTAAAGTGCACGTATTATTGTAATGGAACGCGATTTGACATAAACTACTTCCTTGTCTTTATGTGTTTACAAATAATTAAGTTTGCTAAATGAATGCTAAAAGTAAGGATCGTAAGTTAAATTAAAATAGCGACATACTGGAGATGCTTATTGTAGTTTGTTTTATACAGAAATGAACGTACACGGGGCGACTCCGCGTTTTATATTGATAATCGAGTGGGTTGTAGCTTTGAACTAGACCTATTTTCAATCATTGAGAGCTTTCGCATTTCGAACCTATATCAGTTGAGAAAAACGCCTTTCCAATGAGTACTAGATACGAGCCCAGCTCATGCCCCACTATCTATTTTGACAATTATTGACTTTCATTTAAGAAAAATTAAATGCTAGTTGAGGATAATCTGCTTAAAATTGATTGAAAATCGTCAGACTTAGGGGAGGAAGTAACAATTTTCCGTTTATTTAGAACCGAGCAGAACGCCGTTTTCAATTTAGTCAGACGCTGTTTTCACAATTAAAATTTTAAAGAACTTAAGTATAATCGTGCTTTCCAAAACAATTGAAACCCGTTGAAATATTCACTATAACGGTACCCGCCGATGATTTCATCATTATGATTAAAAGCTATTATGTATATTATGATTCTAGTGTTTGATATAAGTGGCTTTACATTCATAAAGGTAACTTTAGCTTGGTATATAGGTACAACTCACCCTCTTATAATGAAATTTTACTTATCTATTTTAGAAAACTATCTAGAAAATGTATGTGGTAAGTATTTAGAACGAAATATTTGTTGGTGACATTAGTATCGATTCTACTGACAGTAATTTGTTTGTCAGAGCCGAGATAAAACGATGACACTGGTTGTTGATCTCATCCGACACAATCTTCAGCTACGTTTTGTGTAAATATTCCACTAAGTATTTATAATTTAAACTTTATATCACATTAAATGAAGTGGGAATGCCAGCGTTAACGCTCCATTGTGTCTCAATTAGTTATGGAAACAAAGGCGGTGCTACCAACGAGGAAGCTACAATAAAACAACATTGATGAGCGTTAACTCGAAAACTCAATAAGACTTTGACGTCATTAGACTGAAGTATTTGAAATCGTTTCCCTGCTATTCTGCACATGGAAGCTAAATTTAACACAAAGGGCTTTACATCTCAAGAAATTCTTGAAGGACTAAAAGAGTTGAACAAATGCACCCACCGTTCAGAAATCTGAACGAACATTTGATAGCCAAACTCAATTTTATTGAAATTGAATTTTTTTAACATAAGCAATAACAAGCACTCGAGTGAATTTCTACCATTCCTTCGGTTAATTTCAACTATAACCTATGATAATGAAGCTGTCTGTTTATTATGCAGAAGAAGCAATATATTTATTTATTTTATCTATGAACATAACAGGTTGCCCCCAATAACAATGTTCATGTATTAATTTTAAAAAGAAACTATTCGAAATTTGAATATAAAAAAATATGTTAAGAGTATTTAAATAAAAAAAGACAAAGGAAAACAAAAGAAAGAATAAAAAAGAAAAATGCTGTGAAAAAATTTTTTTTACAGTTCTTGAATATTATCACACGATCTTGCAAACTGCCTTAGGGACATATAAAAAATATCTATGGTGTTATTCCATATATGCACACTATTATAAAGATGTAATGCTGCTAGCAATGCAGAGTTTTTACAATAATCTGTGTTGACGCGGGGGATATAAAATAAATTTAAAATAAATATAGAAAAACTACAACATGAGAATCTTTTTCCGAAGAAGTTATACCGCCCATTTCGCGGATTGTCGTAATTATGCGAACTCTGAAGAAGGACTTAAAACGGCATGGGTATACACTCAATGTCAAAATTCGCCAATTCAAAAAAGGAAAGGTTTCCATTCATCCTTTCCACCTACCGTTTTCCCTTTCGTTCCAATTACAACAAAGGTGAATATCAACAATTATTGAAGAATTTTCGGTAACCATCAGGTGCACCGATAACAATTCGAAATACACTGAACACTATTTCATACCGAATTATAACAATCATAGTTAATAAGCAAAACCTTTGGGGTGAAAAACTGTGTTATGAAATCACATTTTCTGTAATGTGGTTGTACCGTAACGATGATTTTTAAATTCAATTTTTGACATTCAATACTTTAACTCTGCCTTTTAACTGACGTGTCTCGTTTGGATTATGTATATTTTGTTACCTTTAATTATCAACTGCAATTAAAAAAAAACTATATTCTATAATTGATTTTCGAGAAAGGAATACTTTAAAATGAAGTTGTTGTGTTGTTTTTGTGGTGCCCGTAAGTACCCAGTCCGCTCCTGATTAAACTAAAATAAATAATGTTGGAAAAACCGTCCATAAGAGTTCTAAATTTAAACTTTTACCATCACTAGTAAAAGCGGCACTAAGAAACACAATTTTCTTTCTGTTTTTCTGTGTTTTTTTTCGAAATTGTACATTGCGTAGTAGAAAACGACAAACAAGCACTGAATTTTCAATGAACTGTTTCAAGCAAATATAGACAACGAGCGACAAACACAGACGGACGGGCAGAAAGTGCAAATGACCAAAATTTTATCAGTTATCCCCTTGAACACTGTCTACCTATTACTGAAAACAGAATTGGAAAATTGGAAGCCGTTCGTGAGTAATCATGTACAGAGACGGACGGACGGACAGAAAGTCCAAAAACATAAACTCGCGTTTTGTCACTCGTTAATAAACTTGTAACAAAAATAGCACTCCTCAATCACTGAAAATCCAATCAGTTCTTCCTTGGGTGTTGACATAATACTGAAAACAGAATTGGAAAATTCGAAACCGTTCGCGAGTACATACACAGATGGAAGGACGGACAGAATCCAAAAACACAAACTCACTTAGAAGCTCTAATAAACGATATTTATGTAATTACGCTTCCTGCAAAATTAATGTAAAATATAAATAAGTAATTATTTATTTATTTATTTATTGATTTATTGCCCTACAGGCTTATCGCCCAATTACAGGACAAAGTACAATAGTAAAATACAGTAAAGTAGTGTACCGTGTAATGATGTAACTTATAGGAATTATTATCACTAGAATGGTGTTTTAATAAAATTTCAAAAAATAAATCGACTAAATTATGAACAATTAGTTAATGAAAAATTGATAATAATAATAATAAATGCCTTTACTGCCCAATAACTCAATACTATCGAAACAAACATCAGGTTACTGCAGAATTGTGGCCAACAGGTGCAAGTTCAGGGACTGGCCCTCATCATGTGCCGTTCCTGGTCTTCCACTTGAACCCAGAATACTATATTCAGAAATTTATAAAGGTTTAAGGTTGGTTACTTTAAACTTTAAAGATAAAAGAAACTTTAATTGTGTGATTTGGCGTAATGGTGTTGTCACATCCCATAGGCAGTGAAGTTAGAAATTTTAAAAGATGCTGAAAGCAAAAGATATTTCGTAAGAAGATAGAAGATCGCATTTTTCTCATCTTGCTGATGGTGCTAAATTAAAATTTGTATAACTTATGGGTTTCGTGTAAATTACATTCAGATTCTTATTTCTTATAAACGCCATATTGGATTTTTACACTCAACAGGGAAAAAAATTACAAAATCGGTAATATCAAATACCTAGTATTTGATTTGGAAACTAATCTTCAATTTTTGGATTGAAGTTTACAATGTATTTCTTATGACCATAATTTTAGGGCCGTGTTGATGGTGACTATGCACAATTCAAGAAAGATATCCAAAATGTGAATAAAACCGATCCAACGTACGTATACGGTAGAGCACAAATCATAAAGTTGCAATTTCATTGTCAGAATAAATGTATTTAATATGATTGCGAACTAGGGTATCGAATTTCGGCCAGTCAGTAGGGGCGGGAACAATGCAATAGCCTACTTCGATCGAAAACGTTTTCTGAACATTCAAAATCCCATAGGTAGCGATTTTTTCGAAAAAATGTATATGAAGCAAAGTTGTGCTAAATGCTTTCGATTTTGAAATGTTCTCCTACGATGCGCCCTTTTCGAGATATATGCGAAAAACCGCAAAATCGTACCCCCTCCCCTCCTACCGGCGGCAC